TGCAGCTGAATAGGACAATGAGAGGTTGGCAGCCTGGAACCTCAACCCGCCCTCTGCTTGCAGCTCTGACTTTGCCACCCGGAGAAAGGGCTATGCAGGAGAAAGACACCTGGGCCCTTCTCGGTCTGGGTTCAGGCCGGGGCACATCACAAAAAGGGCATTGGTTGCAACTCTCGTGGACTTTTGGAGGGCTCGGGATACACGGGATACAACCATTTTGTCCCTCCTAGACCTCTCATCAGGTTTCACGATATCCTTCTGGACAGGCGTTTGGGACTGGAAATGAGAGACATTTTATTACGCTATTTCTACTTCCATCTCCATGCCCGGGTCCAGTCAGTGTGGGTAGGAGGGGCCGAGTCCTAGGCCCCTGCAGTTTGGGGTGCCCCAGGGCTCAAACCTTTCACTGTTGCTTTTTAACATTGACGTGAAATGGCTACCGAAGGCCGTCCATCTTACGATACCAAATTATGTATAGGTAGTCCTAGACTTCATGTAGCGACCATTCATGAAGTCACAACAGCACTAAAAAAAGTGACTTGTAACCATTTTTCACACTTAAAACCATTGCAGCATTGCCATTGTCCACACGATCGAAATAGGAATGCTTGCCAATTGACTCAGATTTGTGACAGTTTCAGTGTCCTGGGGTCATGTGATCACCTTTGGGGACTCAGCTGGTGCGCAACCTTGGGGTCCCCCTGGACTCACAGTTCCTGCTTGATAAGATGATGGCTGGGGGAGGAGCTTTGCAGAGATTCTTCTGGTGAGCCAATTATGTCCTTTCCTGGATCAGGGAGGCCTTCCAAAGTGGATCACTCATGCCGTGGTCCCCTCCTGTTTGGATCACTGCCCTGGGCCACCAAGAAACTTCAGCTGGTTCAGAACGCAACGGCACACACAGTAATGGGAGTCCCTAGATTGACCACGTAACATCTTTGTTGTGTGAGCTGCACTGGATCCATTTCTTTAAGGTACAATTGATGATGCTGGTCATCACCTTTAAAGCTATTTCTTTATTATAGCAATAGCAGTTAGACATATATATCACCCCACAGCGCTTTATAGCACTCTCAGTTTACAGTGACAGCATATTCTCCCCAACAATCTGGGTCCTCCATTTACAGAACTCAGAAGGATGGAAGGCTGAGTCAACCTCGAGCCCTATCAGGATCGAATTCCACGCTGTGAGCAGAGTCAGCCAGCAACACTGAATTTTGACCACTGAGCCAACAGGACACCTGTCTTTATTGTCCCACCTTTATTATTTTTGCATCTATCTGTTCTACCAGGTCAGATACGGTGAGCAAGCTCCTAGCCCCTTCTCTTAAATAAACACTCTTCACCCTGAAGTGTGGCAGGCCTTTATCCTCCATGTCTTCCGTAAAGCAAGGAAGATCCAGTTTTCCCCCTAAGCACTGAGATAAGAAGAGGCACCTGCACATCAGAAGCCTGAATTGAAATCAGGTTTTTGTTTATATGCATTTGGTTTTAATAGTTTAGTTTATTAATTAGCCCATTGGCCATATCAGAATACAGAGTTCCAAACATTAATAAAACCCTCTAAAAACAAATGAAAATGAAATTGGAGTACAATACAACAATCTGATACATAGATAAGTGAAATAAGACAGAATTATATTTCAGTATCACCCCTAAAATCTACCCCAATCAGTCCCACATGTGCTGATCTCAGCCAATCCATTGTACTCAAGTACTCTGCCATATTAAACGTTGTTTTCAAATTCTGCCTGCACATAAGATATGTTGTATTAATATGGGGTTCTCAATGGGTAGTTAATAAGGCCAGGAAGCCTGGGTAACTTCTAAATTGAACAAAAGTAAGAATCACCTTTTTCGGACTACCAGACCATCAAAATGCCATCAATCTTGCTTGAAGTGCCCTGTATTTATAGGGCAAGTAAACGTTAACCGTGGGGGCTTTGCATTTTGCCATTTGCAATGTATGGGGTCTATTGGTTTCTGTATTCAGGTTTTATTGCTGTAAATCGGGTGGAATCACCTTGAGTTGGGGTGCCACATACATTTTCTTAACAAAGATACATATCCTGCGCTTATTATATGTAGAAATAACTCAAGGTGGCAAAGATACCTAATACAGATCT